ATGTATTTTCTTAGATAAAAAAATTGATTTTTTTTGGTCGGTTTTTTTTTTTTAAATTGTGCATTAAGGGGTTAAAGAATAATAGAAGAGAGGGGTTGCCACGGAGGTATGTTATCAACGGACGATCGAAGAGTCGAGATCGGACCGTCGAGCGATCAACGTTTCAAATTCAAAGATCTCTAACATAATTGAATTGAGTTGTATTATAGTTTATGCACTTTATTGTAAATAAAATGCCGCGACGCGAGAGAAATGCAGTAATTCGCAACGATATTATTATGGGACACCCTGTATCAACAATGTCGGTGAAATGAGGTATTGCTGAAATCGCGTCGATGAAAATATTGCCGGTCAAATAATTGTCAATAATCATTAAATTGTTAAACATTTAATAATGTTTCGTTTGCGACGAATATAAGGAGTTAACGTGCAATAAAATACAAACATTGATAAAAATATTGTCTTTACCATGTATGTAAATTGATTCATAAAATCGAAAAGTTCCGCGATAGTACCAGATTAAAAACTATAACAAATGCAAAGTTAATGATATAAAGAAAAATTGTATTCTTTACAATTGTCCTCAGATATATATTCCGTGTTTCGATCCAATTTATATCGCACGGTGTTGTGTAACATAAATTGGCTGGGGAGGAGTGTCACATTCATCACAAATACTTCCATTATCTTACACGTTCTCAAACACGTAAAAAACGTTTAGGAAAAGATGTATGGTCCAAAGGGATGAAATTGATCGTGGAAGAAATTGCCTTGGTCGTAGTACTCAAGGCCATCGAAATGTCATCGATGGCATCTTCAATAAAGCTAAAACTTTTTGTCTCTGGTTACACAGTTCAAATATTTTATAAATGCCTTATAAATATTTGATCTTATACCGACGTATCAAATTTTCAAGCGGAAATATACTTTCAATAATTTTTATCATTCGAGCGGTTAATTATAATGTACTTCAATACCATCTCATTATTCACTTTTTATTATTATTATCATTGCTATTATTACTAGACTGTGGATGTTTATGCATTTATGACAAAAATTTATACGTCAAACATAAAACTATATTAACAAACATAATTCTATATTAAAGACTTAAGTAATGAGAAATGGATTTGTATAAAATCGCCCACAATTATTTCACCGAGAATGTCGTAATCGACACCATTTGACCGACAATGATTTCGCCGATGATATTGTTTAACCGATATAGTGACATCACCGACAATGGTTTGTTTCATCGACACTCGTTTCACTAGAATTACTATCATTGGCAGGTAAACATAAAGTCGATGTCGATGAATCAAATGTCGATAAAAACATTGTCGGTGATTTCACTATTTCGATTACTTAATACAGTCGGCGAAATCGATGTCGGTCAAATGGTGTAAATTAGGACATTGTCGGTGAAATGATCGTCGGCGATTTGATACAGAACCATGAGAAATATGGACAAAAAATGTATCCCGATCTTTTATTATGCACATAAATACGTGGTATGCTTCCACTTCTATGCAATTCGTCTTCAAAGGGTTAAAGATACTATATATATATCTATGTATTATTTGCAAAGAGTGTAATATATATATTACACTCTTTGCAAATAATTCAAGTTAATGAAAGAAGAAATAAATCTCTCTATGATTTCCACTTCTTACATTTAATACAGTCAATTTTAATTTTACATAAACATCTGCATTCTAATTATTACCACTTTTACCGGTGAGAAAGGAAAGCAACGACTCTTCATATGAAGTGGATCTCCGAAAAACAAAACAAACAGTACAGTAAATTCTCTGCAATTGTCCCTCAGCTTGCAAACAAAAAATGGACAATTTGGGAAGAGAAGATACGATAATTCGAGCCTCGCGGCGCATTTCTATAATTGAGCCGTTTATTTTGAAAGTGGCATAAGTCACTTTACCGTAATGAAAAGTGGTGATTTTTTAATATTTATACGAAATTATTTATACTGAGAAAAATATCAGTATCCTGAGATAACAATTACAAGTAAATCTTCTCGAAAGTTAGCATCCATATTTTTAAACGTGTTAAAACGCAAACCCTTAAATATCTCGACTTAAAAACAAAGTGACTTATGCCACTTTCAAAATAAACGGCTCAATTGTTGACAATCGGCTGCTATAAAAATGAGCAGTGAGGCTGAAATAATCGTATCCCCTCTTTCCAAATTGTCCAGTTTTGTTTACAAGCTCAGGGACAATTAGAGAAAATTTACTGCAACTCCAAACAGCTCGAGTTCATTTCGGGGAAGCAAATTCTTCCTCGCGTTACGCGTTCGAATTCCGGCTTCCAAACCTTTCAAATTTAAGTTATAGTTAAGTTAGTAAAGCATTACTGCTTTATTTTTCTCGATGGTCTCTCGTGTCACTTACGTTTCTGGCTTCGACAGCGCAGTTCTTCCCGCGCGAAATCCGTCAAAAGGTCTCCGCTGATATTCGCGCACACGTTGGCAATTGGCGAGAATTAGTCTCGTTATTCGCGCATCTGCATCCCCGCTAACAACCGAAGAACCGAAATAGAATGTCATTGTCGAGTCGAATAGGTTTATTAGTACCTATGAACACGATAAACAGGTACTTTACAGATCCGTGTCGTGGGCTCGCGAACGCGGGAAAGCCCTGTCCCTCAAATAATTGCGAGAATTGAGACCCATAGAATGGCTACGGAATCGCGTGTCGGTATTAGGAGAGATTCAGCAACAGCCACGATAGAAACAGAACGGCAGCTAACAATAATAGCATCGTGGCGGCGGGCGGGCGCGGGGACGGCACGTACCCCCGTATATTTCATTATACCGTGACATGACAGAATATTCATTGGTCGAGAACTTACTAAATGGCGAATTTACTATCGCCTAGCGTTCACCGATCGATCTTCGGAAGTACGGCGATCTTCGTGACGCGGTGTCAGAGGTGAGGAGAAGCGGCGGGAGATTCGAATCGGAATATCACTTGATTACGTGATACAGTAACATCGTGATTTCCTATAAACCGGATTCACTGCCGTTGCTATGTACTGCGCTGCGTGTACACAGTGATCATTTAGGTAAGCGATGTAAACATTCGGAGTACCTACCAGTCCGTGTATCGCGAAATACGAATGCATAAGTGATAAGTGTACGTTTCGCGTGCTTGTCGGGTTCGAAAATAATCATTTGACTTTGGACTAACATTGCGAAAACACTGTTGGATTTGTAAACAACATTTTTATTTGAGCTAATCTAAACGGAAAAACACGTTCGTTGAAGCTCGACGGATTTTCGTATTTTTCTCGCGATCGAAGGTGTTTGACTGTGGAATATGTATGAATATTTCGATAGATTTCAATCAAAAGTAGGGTTTTTAAGTTGATTTTGCGCGAAAACTAGTCGCGTACAAGTTATTAATAAAGAAAAATGGAAACCGGAAAATGTTTTAGCGGATAGTTCTTATTCTTTAAAATATATTAATCATGCCCGTTTCACTTGACTTCACTAACACTTCAACTGCGGGCGACGTGGATTCCCGTTCTAATTTTATTTTAAAATTTAGCAAAAAAGACTAAATTAAAAAAATTTTAATTTAAAAAAAAATTGTCATCTTTTTTACTTCTGTCTTTATACTATATATATATATATATATATATATATATATATATATATATATATATATATATATTTCTTTTTCAATATAATTCTTAATCATTTCAATCGAGATTCTTTTTCCACACTGTTCAATTTGCCTATTTAATAAAAAATTGTCTCATTGTTTTGTCGTGTTTAATAAGAACCCTCATCAGTTATTCTCATCTAGCTTCATAATTCCTAGATTTGCTAATTGTACCACCATGCCGGAGAAAGTGTACTCAGTTAAATTTATAACGTGTAGTATATAAACGGAGAAAATGATCTCATATACAGTAGATTTGTGTAGTTTTGTATTGAGTAGTTCGATACAAAACGATAAATTGAAACATTTATATACGTACAGTTAAATATTAGGAAAACAAGATAATTCTTATCTGGCTGTGTGATAGTGACTTACTATATTTAAAAGAGATTAAAGTAGCTTATATAAGTATTACTTCTGCAGAATAATAACGTCTCTGTTATAAATCTGCAGTTGTGAAAGTCACTTCGGATAGGAAGTACATATATATCAACATGAGCCTTAAGTTTTCTGTGAACTTGTGCTTCATGTTTCATGATACGCCATCTCTCAAGGAAAAATACAAATTAGCTAAAGATGCTGGATTTAAAGCTGTCGAAAGCAGTATCTATCCTGGCACTACTATTAAAGATATGGTAGAGGCTAAAAGAGGTGCTGACGTCGAACAAATTCTCCTAAATGTTTATACGGGTATGTACAAATTATGATTAATGTAAGGAAAAGAATATGAATGATTCACTTCATGAAGATCTTCTTAAGATATTTGTATCATAATTAGGTGATATATCGAAGGGAGACGTAGGATTTGCTGCAATTCCTGGACAAGAGGAGAATTTCAAGAAGAGCATTGACACAACGATAGAATACGCAAAAGCATTAAACTGCAAACAGTAACAAAATTTTATTTATACTAACCAAAACTAATCATAATCTTTTATTATATTCCTCATTTTCTAATTTATTTTTTGCTTAACTGTCAGAATTCATGTATTGTCCGGTATTGTGATTAAGCCAACATCCGCTAACGACGACGTCTACGAAAAGAATCTTTTATACGCGGTCGAGAAATTTAAAAAAGAAGGAATCGTTGCTCTCATTGAACCGATCTGCAACGCTGACGTTCCAAATTATTATTTGAATAGTTTTGAAAAAGGTAATCGTAAAAAGGTGCCAAAAATAATAATCAATTAAAATGCTCCTATCGTTAATGTGAGTGTTTTATTTAGGTTTAAACATAGTGAAAAAGATAAATAGCCCGTATTTAAAGATACTAATCGATGTATTTCACCTGCAACAAATTTGTGGAAATCTTACGAAAAATATTAAGGAATTAATGCCTTACACGGGTATGTATTGATTTTAAATTTTTTACACAATCGTGTCTTCAAAAAATGGTATTTATATAAATCATTAAATCGTTCATTTTCGTTTGTTTTATTTGCAGGTCATGTACAAATTGGTCAAGTTCCAGATAGAAACGAACCTGACACGCCTGGAGAAATCGACTACAAATATGTACTTTCTGTCTTAGAAAGAGAAGGCTACAAAGGATATGTTTCATTGGAATACTATCCAAAATCATCTCCGACCAAAGGATTAAGTTGGTTGCAGAAATATGGTTACAAATTGTAGCGATGTTGTTATACGCGTATCGAGATACACCATATTTTTACAAATTTAATTTTTATTACGAACATTATATACATAGGAAACAAAACATGAAGTAAACTTTTTTTATATATACGTTATTATTCTTGTAATATTAAATGAAAGAAATGTTCTATGAAAATGAAAAATAATGTCAAATAAAATAAATCGGAAGTATCATAATATAATTCTATCCAGTTCTTTAGTACTTTGACAATTAAACAACTGTTGATCGCTTTATGACAGCCAACAATATCGCTATTCAATATCAATTCATGTCTTATCCGTGCATTATGCATACATATAAAATTCATGGCAGTAATTTCTTTGAAGTTTAATTTACATTTAGGATCACATGAATTTCTCATTTTTGACATTTTAGTTGTAATTCTTAAACGTATTAATTGTAAATGCTAATACGTTAATAATTGTAATTATTAACGTATTAGCATTTACAAATGAAATCATTTTAACGTCGATGCCGAGAGACTTTGCTATTGATGACGTAATATATTCGTGTTGATAAATCTTAACGAATTATTTTGCATTTTAATTACTCGAACTTTCAATTCAGTATTACTATACACAATCTTTCCATGAATCATTTGCAGTTGTACATTAAATTGTCTTAGAATGTTTTGTACATAGAATATTTAGACACACAAAAAGACAGAATTGTCAGCGAGTGTACACAAACGAAACTAAATATATAATTAAATTTCTTGAAATATAACCCTATTTTTGTTCCTATCCTTTTTTAATCCTCTCTCTCTCTCTCTCTCTCATTCTTTCTTTACAATAATTACAATCTTCACTCCCGTTCTTGTTCTTGGTGTTTTTAACTTTTTTTCTTCAGTTGCCTGACCTTTTGCCTCTGGTCTTTTCCATGTATTGCTCCGACTTCTTATGTCGCACAAGTGTCGGTGTAGACGGTGGACTGCTTTTTATTTCTTCCTCTATTTAAATCTTTGTGAGTTGGAGCTTTATGAAAAGGTTTTACTATTTCTATCGTGACCTCTCTTGGTGGTTTATTTGTTCACCTTGTGCTGAAATGTCTCGGGTTTCATTATTGGATGCCCGTAAGTCGCGTGATATAACGTTGCCTTCAATCTCGACGCTGATGTTACGACGGGACTTTTAAAAATGTTAACAGACGGTGCTGCCTTCAAAAGGCACCAATCAGAGATTGAAGGGAAGAAAATTACTTTCTTGCATCCGAGAGATATTTGCCTTATAATTTTAGTCCTAACTAAACCGACGCAATTACAGTAAATTCTCCCTAATTGACGCTCAGATTGTACCCAAAATGGACAATTCGGGAAGAGGAGTATATTTATAGTTACCGATTGTCAACAACTATAAAAACGAGCCGCCAGGCTCGAATAATTGTATCTCCTCTTCCTAAATTGTCCATTTTTGTTTACAATCTAAGCGTCAATTAGAGAAAATTTGCTGTAGTCGATATCAAGCTCAAAGTTGTCTGCACCATTTCTAAAAGGCGTGTCACAAAAGCTATGTAAATTGAAAACGAGGTTTTGAAAATAGTCATTGGTTTCGTGTTCCCTAGATGTCAGGCACATAACCTGCAAATCAAAGGGATCCGTGTCCAGAGAATTCGGTTCAATCTTGGTTTCATTTCGCCGAAGCGACATTTGGGGAATACTGTTACGGTTTCTGATATTCATATCGATTTCCTATTTAATTAAGTAGAGGTTAACGCAGCAGGCTTAATAAAATTCCCCAAATTTCCTTCAAACATACACACGGACGGCGTCGCGTGCGATTGTTTGTAATCGTAAAATCGATAAATTATTTTTAAAAATTGTTTCTCCTATCGGCCGTTCAAAAGATCGCGCACATTTTCGAGGCGTCGAATAGTTTCAAATAACGACTCCGATTTCTTCTTTAATTATAGGAAACGGTGGTTATAACTGCACCTGAAAAGTTTAATATATTCTGTCGGCTGCGCTGTGAGATTGGTACATCGGTTTAACGAAAATTCGCGGAGATCCCCTGGCAGCAGTGGAGCAGTCAACGTGTTAATTTTGAAATTTTATGAAAGCGAGTACGGTGAATTGCTGCGTTACCGGGGATGAAGTTCAGTCCTAGACCGCTTTGTCCTTTAAAATTCTGCGGTTGATGTTGCGTTTTAAAGTGCAACTCACGCGTATTGCCGGTCAATTGTTATATTAAATGTCGCGTTTGCGGCAAACTTACATAGATAGTAATAGTCGCGGAAGTATTGTAAAAAGAATATTTTTCTATAAAATTCGAAATTCTCCTGCAGAAACAAAAATATAAACCTTAAGTCCTTCTCTTGACGATTGCGTAGCTGATTATGCAAATAAGCACCTTGCAATTGCTACCAGTCATGGTCAATTCTGTTTTTCCTAATTTAACATTCTTCCTACGATTGTATGTCAGTCTTATTTTAGCATATTTCTTAAAAATGGCAGTTTTAACGATGTTTCGAATTAAAAATTTACTGGTGTTATTAATAATGTAATATTTATCCTCAAATCATGCAAACGTAACAACAACTGCAACGGAAAAATACATGCTAATAATTTTATTACTGTTCCACTATTGTTTATAACAAGTTCTTTCATTCGTTTCAGCTCGAAATAAAAGTTCACCGCCCCGCTGGTAATTAAATAACATGCTGAATTAAATTTTAACACTATTCTACAGCTACGGTTTAAAGTCAACCGTGTACAGTAATAACAGGGTAGAAATCACTGAAAAGAGGAGATGCATAGAAATAATTTTATCTCTAACAACGCTGCATTTCTTTGTCCGTTTACAATGGTCCCTAAACCGTTCTGTATTTGCTTTTCTTTGTGCGGCACGATAAACGCGGAAAGATTATTCGCACGGGCTGGCAGCAAGGGAAATGATAGACGACAACAGAAATGTTAAACGAGATCAAAAAGTGGTGGTTCGCGGAATTTTTTTTTGTCACGACTCCGTTGCTAAATGAATTCCTCGCTAACGGATATAATGAAATCTGCCACGAAGTCTTGCGAATTCCCGTCAGCGAAATAGTGTATAAATGAAGTTTGCCAGTGACATAACTACGCGTAGATCAAAATCGTGTATCCTTTCACCCCACCGTATTCGATATTTACTCCTTAAACGCTAGATTCGTTTTGTTTCTTTGTACAAGGGGACGGAACTGCAATGTTTGGCAGCCGTCGTAATTTACTGTCACATATTGCCGTGGAATTTTTTATGCCTTGGTCTAATAATCTTTTATTAGATCTCGTGTGTTCCCAACGGCTGTATTGTGTACTGTAAAATCTGAACGAAGAATGAACTATGTCAAACATTATTTCTTGGAAAGCAATTTTGTATGGGTACTTACAGATTTTCCACTCCCAATAAATCCTTTAATTGATATTTTTCACCTTACTGTGCAAATGAAATTCACCTTTTTGCAAATTAAATGAAATTATTTCACAGATCAAAGTTAGCCGTTCCTTAATCAATCTTTGAACTTAATGTAAATTCATATACTTTCTTTATAAAATAATACAGATTACAATAAAAATAATTGATCTCCTTATAACCAATAAAGTATAGATATTATTAAAATTATTATTAAAAAAGTAAAATATTATTTGCAAAAAGGTGAACATGATTTATAGGGGAATTAATTTTGAGTGATAAAAGGTAAATGAGATCTACAAAATGATTCATTTATAATTGGATTGTGGTTTTTACGCATTCATAACTGAAACAAGTAGGTGCCATTCAAAACAGCAAGCCGATTAAAATCAATAAGGAACGATAGAAAATTTGACTTCAGTTTCTCGTAATTGTTGTTAGCAGTTTATATCTTGTATAATGCTCCGCGGTTTAATTATAATAAAAATCAAATCTTATGCATTTTGGTATCTCCTTGTTGATTGTACAGTTAATTCCATTATTTCGCGTTCCATCATTTATAATTCCAGCTAAACAAATGCAAGAAACATCGTCATGTTTTCAGACTATATTCTATTTTAATTAGCAAGTTGATGGATGTTCATAAAATTTGCAAAGTCCCGCTTAGTTTCCACACATTAGCAAATCAGTTCTTCAAAACTGAAAAAATATATTTTTATTCGTTCCTTTTAATTCGTTTTGGCTTACGAATATTTTGGCCATATATACAGGGTGTTCCACAATTATTTTAACAGCCGAAAATGAGGGGTACATAATACATACATCTGTCTCTTATACACATCTAGATGTGTATAAGAGACAGTATATACAGGGTGTTCCACAATTATTTTAACAGCCGAAAAGGAGGGGTACATAATACATACATCTGTCTCTTATACACATCTAGATGTGTATAAGAGACAGTATATACAGGGTGTTCCACAATTATTTTAACAGCCGAAAAGGAGGGGTACATAATACATACATCTGTCTCTTATACACATCTAGATGTGTATAAGAGACAGTATATACAGGGTGTTCCACAATTATTTTAACAGCCGAAAAGGAGGGGTACATAATACATACATCTGTCTCTTATACACATCTAGATGTGTATAAGAGACAGTATATACAGGGTGTTCCACAATTATTTTAACAGCCGAAAAGGAGGGGTACATAATACATACATCTGTCTCTTATACACATCTAGATGTGTATAAGAGACAGTATATACAGGGTGTTCCACAATTATTTTAACAGCCGAAAAGGAGGGGTACATAATACATACATCTGTCTCTTATACACATCTAGATGTGTATAAGAGACAGTATATACAGGGTGTTCCACAATTATTTTAACAGCCGAAAATGAGGGGTACATAATACATACATAATACACAATACAATTCGGACACGGAATTATTTAAATTAAAATATCATTTATGTACTTTGTTAATCTTCACTGTACACCTTGCTTAAAAATTTCATATGTTGACCTTGACATAACCTTGATATAACCTTGCGATAACCTTGCGATAACCTTGACACAACCTGGACATAACCTTGACATTGTAGGAGGTCAATGCACTATCCTGCGCACATTTCCGTGCATGAAGTGGATTTACAACTAAATGGGTGAGTTTCTTATTCATAATATTCTTCATATTTCTCTAACAAACATATCCCTTAGTCCTTTAACACGATTGTTATTT